CTTTTCCTGCCTCTATCTATAAGATAGAGGCAGCAAAGTGTGGGAGGGAAGGGGTACTTCAAAGTGGCAGAGCCACACAGTGGTGCTGCCTATTTGAAACCCCAAGGCGGCTGCTGCACTGTTATACACAGATCAGCTGTGCGGCGCCTGCAATGCAAGAACATTGCATTTGGATTTCCTGGATTTAAAAGGTGCATAAGCTGTCCATATCACTCTCTAGCGGACACGACCTGTGCGTTCGCTGTTTGGGAGAGGCACACCTTACTGAACATTGCCCTTACTGCAATAAACTAACATCCAGAATGAGAAGGTCCAGAGAACTACAATTAAAAATGATTCAGTTGGAGAAAATGACTCATCCTGCTTCAGACCCAGAGCACACTACTGCCCCTCCCCCATGCTCCCATCACCAGGGGATGCATTGGACAGGGCACCTAACACTATGCCTAGTGCAAGAGACCGTGACAGGGCGCAACAGGCCAAGAAGAGGTCTCATTCCTCCTCAGGGACAGATTCCCCTTCAAGGAAGTGCTCCGTACATAGCAGCACTGCTTCCAAAACCCCAACAATAAAGGGGTCAGAGCAGCAGTATGCTAATGGGGCTGGCACTGAAAAGGGCCATGACCCCAATCTAAAAGCTCGCACCACAACAAGGCACAGAAGGAGGCGAAATGCAAACCCTCTGAGCACAAAGCCGTCAGCACTGGCCACGGCAAAGATAAAACCACGCTGGGAAGCGGTAACAGACACCACAGCGGGGCATTCAGCAACAACAAAGCCACGCTGAGAACGAAGAGCAGTGAGCGCTAAAGCGCCATCAGCACCAACAAAGCCACTCGTAGAAGCAGCAAGGAACACCGAGGCAGCGCGATCGGCACGGGGTGCCAACAAAACATAAAAAGCAAACGCCAGTGCTGCAATTCATTACTTCTGGGGATCTCCTCGTCACATCGGTACTGGGCTCACCGCTTTTTGGCACCGATGGGACCCCACACACTAACACATACAGTGGTACTCCTCACCCAAGCCCTATCAGCACCGGCACTCACAGCAATGGCTTCCACCTCCTATCCCAGCAAACTGGCCTTACTGTGATCCATGGGTACCATTTAGAACACACATCTCCACACATGAAACTAGCGCTCCCAATGAATGAGGCTCTCATGGACCTGGCCAAGAACATCTGGAAAATGCCGGCCCCAATACCACTGACCTGCAAGAGGTCAGATCGAAAATACTATGTCGCCCCAAAAGGAGCAGAATTTCTCTTCTCCCACCCATCTCTGAATTCATTAGTGGTGGACACAGTTAACCAAAGAGGCAAACAACAGGCTACCTGAACTGTCCCCTACGACAAGGACTGGAAGAAACTGGACACGATGGACAGAAAGGCATACTCACTGGCAAGCATCCAGCTCTACATAACCAATTACGCAGCATTACTAGCAAAATATACACGCCACACCTTCAATCAACTGCAAATTTTATTTAATCACTTCCAGATAACAAAAGGGATCAATTCAAGGTTAGTTTACAGGAAGGAGCATTAATATCTAGAACAGCTCTATAGGCTGTGTTAGATTCCGCAGATACTGCAGCCAGATCCCTGGCCTCTGCAGTAGTGATGAGACGAGCATCTTGGCTTCCGCTCTCAGGATTCCCCAGAGAAGTACAATCAACTGTATGTTAAAGGACCTTGTGATATTGATATTTCACAGTTAATACCTTTAACTGGTCTTGGAACTTCTTGCAGGACAAAGGAGATTCCAGCCATAATGTGCTGTTTGGAAAGGGAAACTGAAGCACACCACCATTATGTTTTCATGGCTAAGGGCCAGCATGCCTACGTTATGGGGGATGAGAATACTTACATTAACTCAATGTTAATTGGATTTCGGACAATTGCCAGAGGGGGCCTGGATAATTTTACGATTTTCTTTAGCGCTGGGCACGATCACATGACACATATGAGGATCATATTGCAAAAGCAGATCCTATCCGCTATGGTTCTTGCCAAGTTTTACCTTGGGTTTCTAAACCAGTGCAAGGATATTGTTGTCTCTATGATAGACCTTCCAGCGATGAAGCCTATTTTAGGCAAGCCTGATTTTCATACACTTGTCCAGTTCTGAATTGTTGTTCTAATATTGTATTAGAACCTGTAATAACACAGAGCCAAAACATGGGGAGGGCAAGTGATGCCCTCAGTGATGTTACTGGTATCACTTCCTGCATCAATTTTGCATTGGGAGTGTCACATTATTGGATTTTAAAGTGAGCAAATAGATCGCTGTTGCACCCACTGGTGGTGGTTGCTCCAAATTCTGAACAAAGTGGGCCATGTGAGGTGTCAAATGAAAGTTTATGCTCTGCTGATTCTATGTATGATACTCATGTACTTGTATGATTTTGTATGTGGAGTTATGGATATGGACCCTGTACTTCTATTGTAAATGTTCTCTGTCTGGGAGGGAACAGTGGGCCTGGGCTGCCTATTGTGAGGAAGGATTATTCAGTGAATGGCTGTGCTAACTAGCGCTGCTCCATGGACGATGGCTACATACCGGAGGAATGAGTCTGGAAACCTGCAAACCAGCCAGGTTTCCTGATGGCTACTTGGATGTGAAACACAGACAGGTCACTTGATCATGTGACCAGCTCCAGTTTGGGAGGCACCAGGAATATAAAAGTGCCATGAGGGCATCTCCATCTTGTCTTCAATCTTGCACCTGATTCCAGATGCATCCTTGCTAGGGACCAAGCACTGAGAAGGATTGCTGACTCATCCTGAAACAAGATGTACGCCAGAGACTTCTAAGTTAGCAGTTTGTAGCATCTCTGCCAAGAGCCTGCATTAAGAACTTGGTGATTGATGTATGTAATGTACTCTCCTTAACAATCGTAGAATCATAGAATACTAGGACTGTAAGGGACCTTGAGCGGTAACTGAGTCCAGTCCCCTGCCTTTATGGCAGGACCCAGTACTATCTAGACCATCACTGATAGACATTTATCTAACCTGCTCTTAAATAGCTGCAGAGATGGAGATTCCACAACCTCCCTGGGCAATTTATTCCAGTGTTTAACCACCCTGACAGTTAGGAACTTTTTCCTAATGTCCAACCTAAACCTCCCTTGCTGTAGTTTAAGCCCATTGCTTCTTGTCCTATCCTCAAAGGCCAAAGAGAACAATTTTTCTCCCTCCTCCTTGTAACATCCTTTTAGATACTTGACAACTGATATCATGTCCTCTCTCTGTCTTCACTTTCTAAACTAAACAAGCCCAATTCTTTCAGTCTTCCCTCATAGGTCATGTTTTCTAGACCCTTAATAATTTTTGTTGCTCTTCTCTGGACTTTCTCCAATTTTTCCACATATTTCTTGAAATGTGGTGCCCAGAACTGAACACAATACTCCAACTGAGGACTAATCGGTGCAGAGTAGAACAGAAGAATGATTTCTTGTGTCTTGTTCACAACACTCCTGTTAATACATCCCAGAATCATGTTTGCTTGTTTTTGCAACAGTGTCACACTGTTGACTCATATTTATCTTGTGTTCCACTATGACCCCTAGATCTCTTTCTGCAGTACTCCTTCCTAGACAGTCGCTTCCCATTCTGTATGTTTGGAACGGATTGTTTCTTCCTAAGTGCACTACTTTACATTTGTCCTTATTAAACTTCATCCTATTTACCTCAGAACATTTATCTAGTTTGTCCAGATCATTTTGAATTATGATCCTATCTTCCAAAGCACTTGCAAATATAAGATTGCCAGTTGAAAGCAGGTGCACTGGCTCAAAGCCTTGCTTCCAGTCCAAACAACTCCTTACGGTGGACTCTCGTAACTATCTTGAGCAGTGCAGTATCATCTGCAAACTAGGCCCATTTAAAAATGTTTTAATAAGACAATAGAAGTTCACAGCTCTAGAAACAAAGAAATCAGATCCCATTACAGAGTGGGGGAATGTATCCCAGAAATCAGTGACTTCTTAAAGGATTTAGGGGTCATAGTAGAGAAGCAACTGAATATGGACTCCCAGTCTGATGTTGTGGTAAAAGGGTCTAATGTAGTCCTTAGGTGTATAAGGCAGTATTAAGTAAAAATAGAATGATGATTTAATTTTATATACAGTATTGGTGAGACTGATACCAGAAAGAAATTCTATGGACTGTTTTATATAAGAGTTCAGCTTCTGTGATCTAGTTTGTCCCATCTGGTTTTGAAGTTGATGAAAACTTGCTCTAATTGCATTTCCTTACTTTAGGCAATTAATGATGCAGAAAAGTTGGTGGAAACTCTGCGTTTGACTGCTGAGAAAGCAGAGGAGAAACTGTCCCTGGCTAGGCTCCAGTTGCGAGAACAGACTCAGAAAGGTAAGGTTAGGCCTTGGTCATAAACAACTTAATGGAGTTAGATTGGGGAGAGAGGGAAATTCTTGATCAGGACACAGGTATACCTATAGTTCTTTGACTCTTTGTCCATATGGATCCTACTTATTATACATGTGCTTCAGGGATATGGGATTGGAATATTTAGACCAGGTATGAAAGATCTGCTGCAATAAGCTACTAGTCAGAACTGGAAAAAAAACAAACAAACTAATAAAAAACCAAGATCCTGCCAGCTGGGCACAAGATGCTTCATAAACTAATTATATTAATTAAGATTAAAATTATTAGAAAAAATATGGTAAACTTAGAGACAGTGGAATGATACTGTTGAGTACCATCTCATAGCTCTGGGTGGTTACAAAGAAACCAATGAAGTGATTAGTGCCAGTCTGCATTTTCTGACCTCAGGCATGTTGCTTGCTGGTGCTGGGTTAGGAAATGAATAGCCTCTGGCCCAGAAGAGATTTTGGAATGGAAGATGCAATGCAACTTTGTTGTTATGTCTTTTATAGTCCTAAGCATATTTTCAAATCTTGTCACCTACGTTTGGTGCTTAAATCTTGTATTTGAGCTCAGATATACAATGTGGGCCCTTTAATCCTAGTATAAGAACCAAAATAATGGATTTGATCAGTCTATAAGTGTCTGCATGGGGAAGGGACATTACTGGCCATGAGGAAAAGTTATCGAGTGATGTTCCCTGGCCTGTGTTATGCAGAAAATCAGATTAGATAATCCCAATGTTCTCTTCCGGTGCTATAATCAATATATGTCTGTGAAGATTCAAATATCCAAAGAGCATAAACATCAAGGAGGAAGAAGAATTCTGCAGAGTAGTCCAAGTGGGTACACCTAAGGCAATAGGGTGAGATTAAGGGATATCAACTTGTAGTTGGTTACACGATTAACCAATAAGCCTAGGTTTATAGATCAATCCTATCGACTACATACACTTCCCCCCTTGCTGCCTCTGTAAGACAGCTAGTGGGGGACGTGGCATGGGGTGCCAGCTTTTAAGCCAGCTCCCACGGAGCTGCTTGCCTGCTGGCCTCCCACAGAGCTGCCTGCGTCCCACCTCCGCCCACTGCTGCCTCTGATAGGCAGCAGCATGGAGGTGAAGGGGGCAGGTGGGAGCCTGTACATGTGGGAACAGGCTTTCGAGCCAGCTCCCTGTGTTGCTGTCTCTATATTAGAGGCAGCGGGGAGGTGGAGAGGAGGCAGGCAGGAGTGAATATGCATATGGAGCCAGGTCCATGGATCTGCCTTTCCCTCTTCCCCTTCCCCCTCCCCCGCTTTTGCTGCCTCCCACAGTGGCAGCAGGGAAGCAGGGGGAGCCGGCATGCATGGGGAGGCAGCTTTTAAGCCAGTTCTCCACACGTGTCAGCTTCTGTGGAGCTGCCTCACGTGGGGAGTGGCAGGGGAGAGCTGGCTTAAAAGCTGGTTCCCCACAAGTACCAGCTCCCACAGAGCGACCCCTTTTCCCACCCCCCTATACTGCTTCCTCTAATAGAGAAGCAGAAGTGTGTGGGGGGGCAGAGGCTAGAGCTTGTGCACATGGGAAACAGCTTCCAAGCAGGCTCCCTGTGCATATCAGCTCCTGCGGAGCCACCTACCCCCTGTGCTGCTGCCTCTTTATCAGAGGCAGCTGGAGGGAGACAGGAGGAGCCATGAGCATTGGCTCCCCCCTCCCCCCCAGTATATAAACGTGTAACTGCTAACATTTCCAGCTGTTACATGTTTACACAAATAGCTGATACTTAATATCCCTAGTGAAGTTAAGGAAGTGAAAAATTAGGGGGCAATATCTAGGAAAATTTCCTGACTGTGAGTGTTACTGTCCTATGGACTCATCTTTCAAGGGAAGTGGCAGTATGGTAATATAAATAATAATAGTTTTTTCTGACAGGGCATGCTTCACTTTCCTTGAAAGTGCTTAGCCATTCAACATTAATATTCTTGCATTTTTATGTAGAATAGATAATGCTATTCAGTTCTTTCTCTATCCTTTACTAGGGGCAGGGAATGAATTCCAAGGGCTGAAGTGCTCTGTACAGGAGCTTGATGATGTGCTATTGAAGGATGTGGGAGGCAAAATCCATTCAGATGGACGGTGAGTTAGAAAAGACATGTTTGTGTCATGCAGAAATGGCTTCCCTCAACACTGAGGCTCTGTCCATACTACATCCCTTTTTTCGAAAAAGGGATGTAAATTAGACACTTCAAAATTGCAAATGAAGCTGGGATTTAAATTTCCCATGCTTCATTTGCATAATGGTGGCCGCAGTTTTTTCAACATGGGGCTTTTCGATAGAAAAACAGCAGTTTAGATGGGGATCTTTCAAAAATAAAACCCTTTTTTGAAAAATCCTGTAAACCTCATTTTTTGAAGAGTACAGGATCTTTTGAAAAAGGGTGTTATTTTCAAAAGATCCCCATCTAAATTGCCGTTTTTCTATCAAAAAGCCCCATGTTGAAAAAAACCCATGGCTGCCATTATGCAAATGAAGTGTGGGAAATTTAAATCCTGGCTTCATTTGCAATTTTGATGTGTCTAATTTACATCCCTTTTTTGAGAAAAGGGATGTAGTCTAGACACAGCCAGAGTAAGAGAGCTCTTACAAAGGGGCTGACTTAGAAGTATCAATATGTCCTTTGACGATAATAAGCAGCCTTGATGAAGTGGGCTATTGGACTGGTACCATCTTATCCCACGGTGAAGGCTCTTTTATTATTGCTATTTTCATTTATATTATTTATTTGTTAAATGCATGAAATCTGCTAAGCCCTGACACGAGACACAGGGAATACACTAATTTTGATCACCTTATAACTTGAGAGAAAATGGAGAAAAAGAGGGATACCCAGAGGTGGGGTGAAATATATGGAGTGTCTTTTAGACTCACTTCTGGGAATCACACAAGAAGAAGGTGTATAATGAGGAATCATCTCCCTGGTGCAACCAGTGTTACCATCTCAGAACCTAAACCAGTGGTAATTTAATGGTTCTTCTCTAGGCAATGTCAGGGAGCACAGCGGTTCCATCTGATAGAGCAGTGGTGCGCAACCCATGGGTCATGAACCCCAAAGGAGTTGCGGACATCTTCCTGGGGGGTTGCCATGCCACGCAGCCACCAACGGCCGGGCCCAGCCCCTGGCCACCCGGATCTGAGCCCCGCACCACGTGACCAACAATGGCTGGGCCCAGCCATGGGGGTTGCAGTGGAAAAAAGGTTGCTAACCACTGTGATAGAGCATGCTCACTTATATCAATGGTTTATCTAAAACTATTATTTATTAGATTTTAGCATGTGTGCACACATACACACAGGTTTTAAAATACCCCAGATAAAGCTGGGCTTCCAGGGGCCCACTTTCCTTTCAGCTGATGGGGAATTTAGATGTCAGCTTCTTGCCCAAAGAAAAGTTCCCTCGGATGGCTCTACGGTATTTATTTACTTTTACCTAATCTTGTATAGCTATCTCTAACAAAGCACATAACCTATGGTAACTCCTATTAGGTCCAGCATAACAACTGCTGCTGGGTCACTAATTCTCCTGATTTCCACAAACTATTCATGTATCTCAATGTATTTCTATTATTTCCAGCTATAACCACACACAAAGGGTCCTAAAACCAAGGTTCCTTTTCACTCACTGTCTTCCATAACTTTCTGTCCAAACCTTCCAATCTGATTAACAAATTGCTTTCTGGCCTTGTCTCTCAAGGGTCTGAGATTATTCCCAGCTCTGTGATGTTTGGCTTTCAGCTGGCAGTGCTGACTGCAGTACTGTCAAGTTCTGGAATACAAACAGGAATGTCCAATTCTGGGTGTGGAAGAAAACAGGTCCTCACTCTGCGTTTGTTAGCAACAAGTAGCCAGAGGCAATTTATTTCATGAACAGTTGCACGGGAAGGGACTGCGAGGCAGACCTTCAAAAAACAAAACAATTAAAGCCAATATATATACATTCCCGTTACATATAATAACCATAAAAAATTATTCTCCTTCCCATAATAATTCCCTTCAGACGCCACCTTATCTTGAGATTCTCACTAGAGTCAGCATTTCATCCTTATTTCCTAAAGCGAGACGAGTGCAAGAGCGAATTTTTTACAGTTCTCGCAAGGTTAGGGTTAGGGTTAGGTCCATTCTTAACAAATCTAAGATGGCTACACATAATCCTTGCTTCCACACTGGGTAATATCAGGTTCCTCCCAGGGTGGTTGGAGGGAGTGACTTGTTGTTGCTAGTTCTCTAGCAGGTGGAGGGAAATATTTGTTGGTTGCATTGAGTTTTAGTATTAGGTCTTTCATTTCTAGTTCAGATGCTTAGTTTCCTGTCCCAACTAATGATGGGCATGCGTCTTTTCTTCACATACAGATGGCCATTAATCATTGATCCATCTGGACAGGCTGCAACTTTTCTGCGGTATCGAGACACTAATTACTTGAACACATTGAATCCAAATGATATGAACATGGAAACCATTCGACTGGCCTTGTTGGGGGCCCTCAGGTACATGGTAGAGCATCAGGAGTAGGAGGGCAGGATTACAGGCTGGGATGCAACCTAGATTGTTGCTCCAGATGATTTCAGAGGAAGCAGATGAGTGAGTTGAAGGAATAAAATTCTTAGCTGGTAGTGCACGTGGCTGTAAGGGAGTGAGTTGCTTTTTGATCCCCTCTGCCAACTCTGCAAGTAGAAGTAGCTGCACTTCCTTCCCAGGAACCACTTGCAGCCTTCATTCATAAAAGGGAATGCTGGCTGAGTGGAAGGCCTTTTCTCCCCAGTCCCCACCTCACAGGGTGCTAAAGGGAATGCTGGCCACCATTATTAAGAGAGAGAGCTGTTTTAGTCTATCTTTTGTGCCAAGGACCTTGGACTGCTCGGTAGTACAGATGCTCAACCATTGAGACCTTTGCCCTTAGATATGGAAAGCCAGTGGTGTTTGACATGATGGAAGTGAACATGTTTGATGCTGTAAAGAGACAACTGGAGGGAATAGAGACTGGACTGGCAGAGGCAATTCTGAGCAAGAAGATACTGCAGAATGAAAGGTAGGAATTGGTGGATATGGTAAACCTCAGGATCTTCAATGGAGAAATGGAACCTCTTCCGACCAAACCCTAATCCCTCCCAGCATGAGAAGCCAGGGAGAAAGCTGAGCACCTCTATCCCAGAGCTCTATCGCCCACTGTTCTCAGATACTAATGTTATTAGGGCCTGGGCTAAATAAGTATGTAGCTGTAAATACCCAGGGGTGAGGGACTGACCCCTCCACTGTTTCAGTCTTCTCTGAGCCCTGACTGGGAAGGGCTGATTAAGCAGCTGCGGGGCCATGATACCACACAGCTTAGAGGAAATCTTGCCCCGGGGATCTGTTATTTTAATGTTGTTTTAACATCCTTTATAATTCTGGGGAAAGGCCAAAGGCCAAAAGGAGGAGCTCTGGAGATGATCTTTGAAACTACAGGCTGGTAAGCATAATTTTTATATCCGGCAAATTGGCTGAAACTGTTGTAAAGAACAAATTTATCAAACACAGAGGTGAACAGTATTTGTTTGGGAAGAGTCACTACAACTTTTGTAAAGGGAAATCATGTCTCACTAATCCATTCGAAATCTATGAGGTGGTGAACAAACGTGGACAAACGTGATTGAGTGGGTATAGTGAACTTGGGCTTTCAGATTGCTTTTACAAGGTCCCTCGCTAAAGCTCATAAGCAGTCATGGGATAAGAGCTAAGGTCATCTCATGAATTAGTAACTGGTTAAAAGAAAACAAAGGACATAGGAATAAACGGTCAGTTTTCAAAATAGAGAAGAGTAAATAGTAGTGCTCCCCAGGGATCTGTAGTGGAACCATTACTGTTTAACATATTTATACATTTAAAAAACAACAAATAGTCTGGTAGAACTTTATAGACTAACAAAACATGCAGATGGTATCATGAGCTTTTGTGGGCACAGCCCACTTCTTCAGATGACTGGAGTTTATAAATGGTCTGGAAAAGGGGTAAACAGTAAGGTGGCAAAATTTGCAGATGATATAAAATTATTCAAGATAGTTAAATCCAAAGCAGACTGTGAAGAGTTACAAAAGGTTATCAAAAATTAGGTGTCTTGGCAAACAAAATGGCAGATGAAAATCAGTGTTGATACATACAAAGTAATGCACATTGGAAAACAACCCCAAAATAAAAACATGAATAAGGTGTATATTAGCTGTGATCACTCAGGAAAAAGACCCTGGAGTCCTTGTAGGTAGTTCATGAAAACATCTTTTCAAGCTTCAGCAGCAGTCAAAAAAGCTAGCTGAATGTTGGGAACAAAGTAAGACTGAAATTATCTGAATTTGCCACTATATAAGCACAGGATTTGGTGGTGATGGGAGACTTCAACTACCCAGGCATATGTTGGGAAACTAACACAGCAGGGCACATATTATCCAATACATTCTTCAACTTCATTGGAGACAAATTTTTATTTCAGAAGGTTGAGAAAGCTACTGTGAGGAAGCTGTTCTTGATTTGATTTTAACAAATAGGGGGGAACTGGTTGAAAAATTGAAAGTGGAAGGCAGCTTGGGGGAAAGTAATTATGTACTCATACAGTTCATGATTCTAAGGAATGGTAGAAGGGAGAACCGCAAAATAGAGACAATGGATTTCAGGAAGGCAGATTTTAATAAATTCAGAGAGCTAGTAGGTAAGATCCCATGGGAAACAAGACTAAGGGGAAAAACAACTGAAGAGAGTTGGCAGCTGTTTAAAGGGACATTATTAAGGGCCCAAAAGCAAAGTATTCCACTGCATAAGAAAGATAGAACACATGGCAGGAGACCACTTTGGATCAACCAGGAGATCTTATATGATCTAAAAATAAAAAAAGAATCATATAAAAAGTGGAAACTACATCAAATTACAAAGGATTAATATAAGTAAACATCACACGTGTTCAGGGGCAAGATTAGAAAGGCAAAGCCACAAAATGAGCTCAATCTAGCTAGAGGCCTAAAGTAACAAGAAGATACTCTACAAATGTATTAGAAACAAGAGGAAGACCAAGAATAGGTTAGGGCCATTGCTCAGTGAGGAGGGAGAAACAATAACATAAAACTTGGAAATGGCGGAGGTGCTTAATGACTTCTTTGTTTTGGTTTTTTGGTTTTCATCAAGAAGATGGATGATGACAGGATTCCTAACATAGTGAATGCTAGTGGAAGTGGGGTAGTTTTAGAAGATAATTTTTTTAAAAAAAGAACAAGTTAATAATTACTTAGAAAAGTTAGATGTCTTCAAGTCACCAGGGCCTGATGAAATGCATCCTAGAATACTCAAGGGGCTGATAGAGGAGATATTTGAGCCTTTAGCTATCATCTTTGAAAAATCATGGAAGTTGGGAAGATTCCAGAAGACTGGGAAAGGGAAAATCTAGTGCCCATCTATAAAAAGGGAAATAAGAACAACCCAGGAAACGACAGACCAGTCAGTGTAACTTCTGTGCCAGGCATGATAATGAAAAAAGGAATTAAGGAATCCATCTGCAAACATGTGGAAGATAATAAGGTAATAGGTAACAGCCAGCATGGATTTCTAAAGAATAAATAACGTCAAACCACTGTGATACCTTTCTTTGATAGGGTAACAAGTCTTGTGGATAAGGGAGAAGTTGTGGACATGGTATACCTAGACTGTAGTAAGGTATTTGACATGGTCTTGCATGATCATCTTATCAATAAACTAGGGAAATACAACCTAGATGGGGCTGCTATAAGGTGGGCACATAACTGGCTGGATAACCGTTCTCAAAGAGTAGTTATTAACGGTTCACAATCATGGTGGAATGGCATGGGGTCTGTTTTGGGACAGGTTCTGTTCAATATCTTCATCAATGATTTAGATGATGGCATAGGGAGTACGCTTATTAAGTTTGCAGATGATACGAAGCTGGGAAGGGTGGCAACTGCTTTGGAAAATAAGGTCATAATTCAAAATAATCTGGACAAACTGGAGAAATGGTCTGAGGTAGTTTAATAAAGAAAAATACAAAGTACTCTACTTAGGGAGGGACTCATAGACTTTAAGGTCAGAAGGGACCATTATGATCATCTAGTCTGACCCCCTGCACAGTGCAGGCCACAGAATCTCACCCACCCCTCCCAGAATAATCCTCTCACCTATATCTCAGATATTGAAGCCTTCAAATACTTTGAAGACCCCAAGATGCAGAGAATCCTCTAGCTGTGATCTGTGCCCCATGCTACAGAGGAAGGCGAAAAACCTCCAGGGCCTCTGCCAATCTACTCTGGAGGAAAATTCCTTCCCCACCCCAAATATGGTGATCAGCTAAACCCTGAGCATGTGGGCAAGAGGGACAGTCAGTTCTTCTTCAGGTAATGTCACCGTGGGTGCTCCACTGTTGGTGACGGGTGATCCCTGGAGCTGCAGTTCGGAGCTTTTCGTAGCAGTTGACAATTGGGCTGCACACGTGCAGGAGGCGCCTCATGTGGAGCCTGACCCCTCCCCCTTCAGTTCCTCTTCAAAGTCTTGAGTCAGGGATGGAGCTCTCATCTCTCTCTTGCCTCAGGCGTTTCTTCACACTTACTTGCTTTTCCTTATGGGCTATTGCCCTTAATTGATCAATTGACACAACTTCAAAGAGAAAAACTGCAAAGAGAAAGAACACACGGTTCCAGCATACAGACCCCCTCAGCCACAGCGGCTTTGATTCTCCTCACTCCCCTCTTCGCTCCCTCAGCAGGGTTTCTCTCTTAAAAAAAAAAAAGAGTGAAGAAGATGAAACGAGGCACCCAAGCCTGAATAAGATCCAACCATGCCCAGGCCTCAGGGTTTTAAAAAGTGTGTACAATGTAAATAAAAAGTGTATACTATGATTCCTGCATAAGATGTTTGGGGGAGGCACAAGCCCCCCAAAAATCTGATCACTACAGGAGCCACACGGCCAGGGCCAGGAAGGACCGTAAAATGTGCCTCCACATGATCATGTTTGAAAGGGCGCTGCAACCCTCAGATCAGCCTGAACTAACCATGAAACATGGAGACCTAAAGCACAGGTCCATGTCACCATTGTCCCAGAAGCAGCACAGGGCAATAGTCTCCCCTGCCAGATCGCTACCTACGAAGCTGTCCTCCAGGCTGACCATTGGGGACGTGTTGCACGCACCAGGGAAGCTGGCAGCAAAATCCTTATCAGGCACCGCCATTGCTGCAACCCTTACCAACTTGGGGTTGCCACGCTCATCAGTGGCACCTGAGAGGCTGTGCCAGAAGACCATGGCACCACACAAACCAGTGCCACAGCATTTGGTGTCAAGAGAAAGTGCAGAACTGCCTTTGAAAGTCCTTGTCACCACCTCCACCTCAGTCGCCTGCAGGGAAGCCCACCCCAGCAGCAGCTTCAACACACCATGATCAAAACCCTGCACAAATGCAGGATGAGAGATTAGCAGCTGAAGATAACAGCGTTCAAATGAGCTCTCCTCCCCCATCAGGAGCTCCCTGTGCTTAGCTGACTCAGCAGGTCCTTCATTATCTGACACTGGACCCCCACTGACACAGAGAAACACTGCAGTTGCTGAATATGATCAAGGCAGCATTTTTTCTTCACAGCACTTATCTCCAATTACACTGGTCTACAATTTTTTAGAAGTCGTCTGCTTCAGAGATAAAACGTGCTATTTATTATGTATTTTGATGTGCTGAATTCAAATATGACAAGTAAAACAACTGATTGGCTACTGTTTCCAAGATATTTAAGTTTTTACATTTTACGTCTATGTGTATTGTATAGATAGTAGAGTTTTAATCATAAATTGTAAACCTAGGTCTTTTCATGTGTTTTTGGTTGCTTTACATGATAATATTTCACCTGTCCTGTTTATGTAACACTTTAAAAATCAGCAAAAGGGTTATATAAATAAAATTTATTATGAAACAAAAGGCAAAAAACTATTATGTACATAGTTTAGTCCTATTCAGTGTCTACTTGGCGCTTCTTGGCTTGTCTCTTGTATTCATTAAATGGAGCATCTCTTG